GAAACAATGTATTTTTCCTCATCTTTCATCAAAATAACAGTCCCGTGATCAATTAAATTCTAATATAAAGTTTATCAGTAAAGAGATATAAATGTAAAATTTCGGGACTTACCCAAAAGTAACACTGCTATCATAGTTCTCTATTATAGAAAATTAACGAAAATTTGGTTTATAAGGGGGAATACCCTGATTTCATTCTCTTTAATGGACTATAATCAATAAACGTTTACAATACACCCAAATCGGGTGTACATGCAGAATATCGAACTTTACAACGTATACGATAAATAACAACGTATATAATAAATACGGAAGATTTTACTGAAAGCGAAGTCAGCTTTAAAAAGTTCATAAAATTAAGTAAGTTTTGAAAGTTTAGTAAGATTTAAATAAGGAAGTCTTTCTTTGTATACAGACTTTGAATTGTTTCAAAAAATGCAAACTTTATAAAGTATAAGTACCTTCTCTTATATACATGTATATTACAAACTACGAAAGCCTAATAGTGTCAAATGAAATCAAAAAATAAAAATTCAAAGGCGTTATAACGCGAATAAAGGCATTATTACGCGAATCAAAAGGCGTAAGAACGCGAATAAAGGCGTAGCAACGCGAATCAAAAGGCGTAATAACGCGAATCAAAAGGCGTAGCAACGCGAATCAAAAGGCGTAATAACGCGAATAAAGGCGTAGCAACGCGAATAAAGGCGTTATAACGCGAATCAAAAGGCGTAATAACGCGAATAAAGGCGTTATAACGCGAATCAAAAGGCGTAGTAATGCGAATAAAGGCGTTATAACGCGAATAAAAAGGCGTAATAACGCGAATAAAGGCGTAATAACGCGAATCAAAAGGCGTAGTAACGCGAATAAAGGCGTAGTAACGCGAACCAAAAGGCGTAATAACGCAAATTAAAACACATTATAATGCCAATTTAATACCATATTTATACTAATCAAATTTGCGAAAAAGGAAGACCAATATTGATCTGAATTTATTGCTCAAGATATAAACTCGTATACAACTATACAATATACATTTACAATAACTTTCATTCTATTTGCACAGTAATTATGCAAACTATTTGTCATAAACTAATAAAGACTCTTTAATATTTGCCAATATAAGATGACTTGGTGACTTATAGGTTATAAAGTATTACCTCCTTCAAATAACAATCCTCCTACGAAGTTTGAATATCGTGGGCCAAATGGAACTTAGATTATGCTCCCGAAACCAAATTGCTTACGGACGGACGGACGGACAGACAGACAGACGGACGGACGCACGTTCCAACATTTTGGGTTTAGGGGCTATTTTCTTTGTTATTTTCTTTGTTCTCTTAAGGGCTACCAGCCCATAAACCCTTTGATCACGGATTGAACCTATTGTTCTCTTTTGTTCTCTTTACTGTTATATAGCCCCTAAACCCAAAATGTTTGCTCGGACGTACGGACGCCAGGGGATATAACATAATATGCCCGAAATTCTTTCGGGCATATAATAAAACGTACATCTAGATCAATTCATTTAAATCAACATTGTTCTTCCTTCCATACATTAATAGGCCACTGTTTGGAATTTATATGGTATTAAATTAGCGTTATAACGCCTTTTGTTTTGCGTTATTACGCCTTTTGGTTCGCGTTATTACGCCTTTTGATTCGCGTTATAACGCATTTATTCGCGTTAGTACGCCTTTTGATTCGCGTTATTACGCCTATTGTTTCGCGTTATTACGCGAATAAAGGCGTTATTACGCTTTTCAATTCGCGTAATTACGCCTTTTGATTCGCGTAAATACGCCTTTATTCGCGTTGCGACGCCTTTTGATTCGCGTAATTACGCCTTTTGATTCGCATTATTACGCCTTTTGATTCGCGTTATTACGCCTTTTGATTCGCGTTATAACGCCTTTATTCGCGTTGCTACGCCTTTTTTCGCGTTGCTACGCCTTTCGATTCGCGTTGCTACGCCTTTTGGTTTGCGTTACTACGCCTTTTTTCGCGTTATAACGCCTTTGCTTCGCGTTATAACGCCTTTATTCGCGTTGCTACGCCTTTTTTCGCGTAATTACGCCTTTTGATTCGCGTAATTACGCCTTTTGATTTGCGTAATTACGCCTTTTGATTCGCGTTATTACGCCTTTTGATTTGCGTTACTACGCCTTTATTCGCGTTGCTACGCCTTTTTTCGCGTTGCTACGCCTTTCGATTCGCGTTGCTACGCCTTTTTGGTTTGCGTTACTACGCCTTTTTTCGCGTTATAACGCCTTTGCTTCGCGTTATAACGCCTTTATTCGCGTTGCTACGCCTTTTTTCGCGTAATTACGCCTTTTGATTCGCGTAATTACGCCTTTTGATTTGCGTAATTACGCCTTTTGATTCGCGTTATTACGCCTTTTGATTCGCGTTACTACGCCTTTATTCGCGTTATTACGCCTTTTTATTCGCGTAATAACGCCTTTATTCGCGTTGCTACGCCTTTTTTCGCGTAATTACGCATTTAGATTCGCGTAATTACGCCTTTTGATTCGCGTTACTACGCCTTTATTCGCGTTAAAACGCCTTTGCATTTTTATTTTTTATTTCATTTGACACTATTAGGCTTTCGTAACAAACTGTTAATGCAAATTAAAAAAAAAAGTTCATTATAATTTTCAAATTAAAACATCTACTGTAGTGTAAATCAGATGATTCTCTCAAGCTTCTTTTAAAAAAGATATTAATGAAAATATGTTTAATTTTAAAGATATTTTTTTTCTGAAATTTCTTATTGAAAAATACTTATAGAGCTACACGGTCTTTTTTTTATATATAAAATGATTATATTTTAAGTGCATACATAAATGTTATGTTCAGTTTAGTAAGAAGACATAAAGTGTCATTAAAATTTAAAAAGAATAATTATGATAAGTTTACCTTGATTTAAACATATTTATCAAGTTACAATAAAACACAACATACAGAAAAATTACACAATATCATAATAAAGTGGATTGAACTTATTGTAATTCTCACTAACTTGAGGCAGTTTCCCAAACACAGTTGTGCATTTTATTATTCAAAGACATATTCAGTAAGAATTTTGATTCCAATACATTTCTGCATTAAAATGAGCCGCGTCACGACAAAACCAACATAATGGGTTTGCGACCAGCATGGATCCAGACCAGGCTGCGCATCCGCGCAGTCTGATCAGGATCCATGCTGTTCGCTTACAAACCCTATAACAAGTAGAGAAACTGATAGCGAACAGCATGGATCCTGATCAGACTGTGCGGATGCGCAGGCTGGTCTGGATCCATGCTGGTCGCAAACCCATTATGATGGTTTTGTCATAACACGGCTCATTTTAATGCAGAAATGTATTGGAATCTAAATTCTTACTGAATATGTCTTTGAATAATAAAATGCACAACTGTGTTTGGGAAACCAAATGTCCTTAAGGCAATAATTTTGAATTGATTTTGTTTATCGTGCGTATTACCATTTACAGATTAAAGGCCCATTATGCCTCAGAAATGTTTTTATTTATCTTTCTCAAAAGCTTATATTTTTGTATACTTTTCCAGTATCCGAAAAATTACTAATTGGCCAATTACCTATACCATAATTTCCATCTGTTGCTATTTGGATATAGCTTGGCAATAAGTACAGTTAAAGTGAATTAGTATTTTGTATGGAAGTTAAAATACTATTGTCTTTAAATTTTTCTACTTTTATGACAATTTATTTTATATTTATTGCTACTTTCTTCAGGTAACAGGCATCTGACATTCTCTTAAACAATTATCTAAACATTATAAATTTCGTGTTTGCCCTTTCTAAAGAAATAAAAATCTATTTGTTTCTGAGGCATAATGTGCCTTTAAAGATGCTTCCGGCATATATATATATATATATATATATATATATATATATATATATATATATATATATATATATATATATATATATATATATATATATATATATAATATATATATATATATATATATATGTTATTTTTAGATATTGGAATATTGTGAAATGAAGAGAAACAGAGTATATACACCATCGATCTACATAAAATCCCTAAAATTTGTCAATATTCGCAGTTAAAAAAGCAATAAAAACCTTTAATCTGATAGAAGCTTTGTGCATATGTATAATTGACACATAGAATAAATTCAATTTTATTCATAGTAAGTAAAGCGTTTCAAATGTCTATATTGTTGGGTTTTTTTAATTTTGATTTCCTGTAAGCTGTCTTTTCATGAAGGGTGACGCCTTTTTAACGAAATACTTTTCCTCCGCATATCGTTATAAGAATTATAGGCTCGCATAACGTGGTATATATGAGCCGTGTCACGACAAAACCAACATAATGGGTTTGCGACCAGCATGGATCCAGACCAGCCTGCGCATCCGCGCAGTCTGATCAGGATCCATGTTGTTCGCTATTAGTTTCGCTACTTGTTTTAGGGTTTGTAAGCGAACAGCATGGATCCTGATCAGACTGCACGGATGCGCAGGCTGGTCTGGATCCATGCTGGTCGCAAACGCACTATGTTGGTTTTGTCGTGACACGGCTCATATATTAAAACCTTCTTGACCCCAAGCGGATTCGTAGTTTATTGGTTCCGTCCTGGTTTTCAAACCAGGAGTCACATGTTTAATATCTTTCTCCTCCACTAACGATTTAATGGTCTTTCGGAAAAGATCTTAAAAAGCTATGTTTCGTATACCAGGAATGTAAATTAAATAACGAATTATGAAAAAGAGGCGAGACAGACTACAATATGTATTTGATATGGATATTTTACTCAGGAAATGAAAACCGTGCTAACTTGATTAAGTGATGCAATGCTTGAAATTCATTGGTTACATTTTACATTCTAAGGTGTTTAATTACATTATATAATGCATTAAATTATATTTTCTGCTTGAATGTCAATCGTATTTTAAATAAATTAATGTTCGCTACACGGCATTTTTACTTTTTTTTATCAAGCTGCGTGTTGTCCATGATTACGGAAACGTATAGCGACCACACTATATGTTAGTTAAAACAGACTTTTTGACAATTTATTTAATACATATTATATACCTTACCAAGTTTTACAAACTTACTTGATCTGAAATATTTATCTAGTAATATATACAGCCCCTGCATGTTGGTGAAAACAGAATTTAAGACAATTTATTTAACACACGATATATATTTGACCAATATTTACATTGTTATTTGATCTTGAATATATATCAATTACTCAATCTGCTGTTAATATTGTTGGATTCAAATTTATGTGACATTTTTCTGTTCATTTATACCTATTAGTTATATATACATTTGTATTGTTTTTTTTTATTCGCATACCTCTAGCATGATAAAATATAATATAACATATTTTACAATTTATATTTGATAATGAGGGCAGAAAAATCTCACACAGCAAAAAGCCTTTTTAAAGATTATATATGAAACTTTGATAAAGGTTTTCTGTATTCCAAAATTTAAAGAATATTTAAATCATTGTGCTTCAGAGAGTGTTACAAGATAAAAGATTATATAAAAGAAAAACGCCGTTAGTTGTCAATAAGCATACAATTAGCTAGTGAAGTAGTACCTGATGTAAATTAGTTATCATAGAAACCATTATATTTTTGTAAGATACATAATAAATATAGCTTAAAACGACAACTTCCGACAAATTTACCATTTTAAATGTGTGTACGGAGGATGATACATGATAAATATTAAATAAAAAGGTATATTCGACCACTTGATGTTATTAAAGGAACAGAGATCCCAAAGCTTTAGCGATATTCGTCTTATATGATGTGTGACACGAGAAAAGTCAAGACATTTGTACTTGATAAAGGAAGCAATTAAATCAAGTTATATCGTAAATCATATATAAAACGTATTTTTTTTGTAATCTATCGTACGTTTTTATCTTATAATGCAAGATAAACTACTTTTAACTTTTTCACAAAATGAAAAAATAAAACACTTACATCTTTTTAAATATGTAATTCTTTCCTTTAATCATATTTGCATATAACAAACATACTATAAAACTGTAAAAAAGTCATTTGATATATATCATATAGGGATGGTCGCTATACGTTTCCGTACATGATATATGCAAGTACTTCATATTCTGATTATGTTTGCAAAAAGCTCATGACTGGGATAAATTGTTTACAATTTATTTCGTTTAAATTTTTTATCTATGACTGTATCTATGCAATATTAACACATTAATGGAGAATTCATTTATTTTGACTATTTGATTATTATCATACATGTTTGTATAGAATAGAAGTCATGTTGCCTCATTTCTAAAATTAGTAAAGTATATGTTCCGTATAACAAACAATCTATGTTGTTGGAGTTGATTACGAACAATCGGTGAACAATCGTAAAGTACGGTTTTGCCAGTGAGGATGGATAACTATCGACCGACTCCTATGGTAAAAGAATAAAATTCTTTAAAAACACACAATTGTCATTTTTAATGTAAAATGTAAAATGAATATTGTCGCGATTTTGTTCATAGGCAAAATTATAACTGACAATGTTCTCTATGAACAAAACATTTTATAACATGTATAACATCGTTCGTTCAAAGTTTTGTTTTTTAAGTGAATCGGTTTATGATGGAAGGTAAGTAATACAAAAATAATTACGTTGAAAGTATCTAGTATCAGACATAGAAACAAATCAAGGAATAACAATATATGGAAGTTGTTATTAAAAAAGGAAGTGTGAGATAATGATCCGACATTATATCTATTTATATAGCAGATAATAAAATGTTCTAGAACAAAATATTATTATTCATCATATAAATGTCATACTAAATCAATTACAACTTTAACAACATTTTTCAGGCAACATTTTATAAGAATACCAAAATGATACATTTCTATTGGTCTTTATCAATATTTAAAATACTTATGGAAAACGTGCCCATTGTAGCAATCTCCTACGCAGTGATCTCCCCTTATCAGTAAATAGATCTGCCACCACGGTCCGATAAATCAGAATTTCTGATATTTTATATTTTTTAGCTTTTGAATTTATTTTTCATTATTTTGTATAGTTTTGATATTTTTTTGATAAACTATAACGAACGTAGGTACGACTAGTTAAAAATAAAACAGTAAGAGAAAAATGACGTTAGATTTCCTATGTAACGGTCGGTATTTACATTTGAATTTCGACGTTACGTCGTGTGACTTTCATCATCATGTGACGTCTGTGAAGTCTGCAAAGGGAGGTTATCACTGTGAGGAGTTTGCCATTGTAGACCTATCCACTTTAAAGTGAATCGGACGGTAAGCATGAAAGACTGGCTCACTAAAGATGTGGACAGTGTCCATACACCAATGTTGTTTTTAATGAATCCAGAACGTTCACGTCAGTGTTTTCGTCATCTCCGAGTATAAACGTAAAGAATGGATCTGACGCTATTTCTAATAAATTTGTATAATTTGAATTCAAGCCAGCACCTATTGTAACGACAATCACTCCTTCATCCTTTAAATGCTTTGCCATCATAAGAACTTTTTGCATATCTGAAATATTGCCAGACGTTATCAAGATTAAAATCTGTCTAGCTCCGGGCCTTGCACCTGTTGAATTGGCAAATCCGTGCGAATCTATGTCGTCCAAAGCATTTGCGACGTCGACGTTTGTTGATAATGCCTGTTTTGTTTTCCTACTAACCTCAGCTATGTGATCGCGACTGTCGTTGTAAGCGTCAAAGTCATAGATAGTATTTACAGTCTCCGTGAAAGTGGAGTACCGTAACTGAGTAAACTCTGGTCCGATGTCTGCGTTTGCCAGTATATGAATGACTGCCTGTACCTGGGTACTAAAATCTTTTTCTTTGATACTGGCTGACACATCCATAAGTATTTGGACGTCTGACGCACCTATTGAACATTCTGCAAAATAATTGATTATTATAATGATAAACTGAAGATAGAAATAAACCATACATAAATATTTGAACGTTTGACACACCTATTGAACATTCTGCAAAATAATTAATCATTAGAATAATAAACTAAAAATAGACATAAACCAGAAAAATGACTTTCCAGAACAATAAACTTGTCCAAAAGGCTCACCGATTTTTTTCTTGTATATATGAAAGTTGAAAATACAAGATTTATTATGTAAACTTAAGATGATTGATAATTTTTAGTTTTAACGTTATTTTTTTTTTTAAAAAAACATACAAATACATATCCTAGTGATATTCCGTAATGCTTTAAAAATCTATTACTCACTATCGCATTCAAACATGGTGTACTTCAGAAGATGTTGAATCGAATCATCTGTTGCCATTGGAAAAACTAGTACGTGATCATCATATGCTGGAAATTTTGATATATCTAGCAACTCCTCGTGTCTTATAGAATCACCGGTACCTATTGAGTATATCGTCACATCGTTGCGTTTCAGTAAAGCGGCCTCTGCCACAGCATGAATTGGGTATGATGACAAACCGTCGGTCACTAATATAACATACTGTTCTACAGGTTTGTCTCTAGCACCATTAACTGTTGTTAAAACGTCCTCTCGGACCGTTTTCAATGCAGTTTTAGTCATACTTGGACCACTACAATTTTCTTTCATTGAATCTATGGCGTTCTGTAAATCTGTAATGTTGCTGAAGGTGTTCAAGTAAAAGTGAACTTTCGCCTGTAGGGAATATGTTACGAGGCTAAATTGGTAGCGATAGTTCGGCGGTCCTATTTGGTATTGGTAATTTGAGATGAACTTTTTAACGTATTGTTTCTGTTTCTCAAATTGATCATCACCTTCACTCATGGAAGTGTCCAAGACAAAAACAATGTCGGCTTTTTTATACGGCGTACAAACATCTGGAATGCAAGTATATTTATAAATTTACATCGGATGTGTTGCATTTTAATCTCAGAATTACAAGTAGCATGATAATAACTATACACAAAAACCTCGAACAAGTTTTGTTTGTGAAATTCGTATGTGATTTTAAAATATCTAGTATATCATTCATTTCAACATTTAAATGATGACTCAACAGTTGCATGACAAATAATTCATAATGAGGTTAACACTGGATTCACTAAAAACAACATTTGTTTCTCATTCTACTTTCTAACTGATAAAGCCGGTTTATTTACAAAGCAAAACAATGACAGATCCCTCCTGTCGCTGCCCTTTTGGATTCTGATATCTGTGTGATATACGCGATCTGAATGGACGTCAAATTTGGCGCGTCCAATCAGATTTCGTATTACAACCCCGGTATCAAACTGCAAAATGGCAGCGATAAGTCAAAAAATACCGTGAACCAGAAAAAAATCGGAATGATATTGATATTCTATGGACTTGAATTAGGTAAGGTATGGAATTCTAGTTCTTTTTATTGTTGTTAATGAATGATGCAGCGATATGCCCCCGGAATACGCCTGAGTCGCCGAAACGAGGATTTCCCGTGTTCCACATTGTTTGGCAAATGAGTATATAGTAGGCTTTTCACCTTTCTATAAATATAATTTTGATGGTGGAAAAAATGGTACCTTATAGTAAGGCTTAGAGTGTTGAATTATTTTTTTCAGGGTTGTAGTAGGGGTCCAGGGGCAGATAAGGGTGGGTGTCCAAACACTGATACTGCCATCTGTGACCGAAACATGTCAGTTTTTTTCTTGCAAATTCCATCATATTTTAAATACTTAACCTTAACAAAACACTTTTCTATGGAAAATATCGGCAAAAATTAATTCATCCTAAGCATGTCATTGTATAGCATGCAACTCATCTGGCACCCCATGCCAGATGAAATTTCCGGCTTAGGTAAAGCTAACGAAAACAGCAGTCTGATATGCAAGAAAATAATTTCACATTCAGTACTACTTTCTTCAGGCGATAAACATCCAAGTTATCATGCTCTAAAACCATTATTGAATTGCTATAAAAACTCACGTTTATCTGTTTGTAAGGCAGAATGTGACTTTTAGTATTTTGTTATTATCTATTTATATAATATAGGAGAAGAAACAATAAAATTTCAATATCATGTTATATGTTTCTGCAGTCACTAAAAATGGTCTATGATTAAAAGAGCTTTGATTATCGTTTATCCGAAACAGTGTGTTTAGAAATGTCACAGACTGATATTAAAGACGTTACTCAAGGTTTAATTATATTACTTAAACCCCTTATTAAAACGGACATGACCCTTCTGTGATAAAACAATTTTATAGCCATTTTTTTTTAAATTTACTGAAGGCTTATGTTGCGCTTATTGTAAGAAGGTCGTTTAAGGCTAAATTTTCCTCCAATGCTTAATGAAAACTTATATCTGTTTACATGACTATAAAAATGGTTCAAACTGATATTTTTGGGATTATGATGTATATTTGGAGGATTTTCTTTGCTAATAGACATGAAACTTGCCCAGAATAGTTTAATAAATTTTGGCAGACCGACAGAGTAGAGTGTAATAAAATATCAACATGTAAGAAGAATATGTTTTTTTCGTGCAAAATAAATGACTCATTATGGATTCCTTAAAATCGCTATTTTTCGAAAGTTGAAGGACGAAGGGGTAAATGGTGGAGTAAAAAGCTGATGTTGAGCGCAAGGCGATATTCATTTGGCGTATACCAAGAGCATAGTCCGCGAAAATCTTTATTAAAAAATAAGATATTGTCTTCATACTTTATAAAAAGGGATACTTACTGTAAAGTATGACGTATTGTCTTAAAATCGTATTTACCTTCATTTTGACAATTGTTTCCAGTCCAACCTTTCGTACAGTGACACTTATAGCTGGTCCCTCCGTTTGTTGGAAAGCACATTCCTCCATGTTTACAATAGAGAGGACTGGAACAATCTAAAGTTTCAAAAACCGTCTTAAACAAGTTGTTGGAAAGTATATATCAGGATTAAGAAAGAAGAAAATAATAGGACTGCGGCTTTACTATTTACATCTTTTAATTTACAGACACGATTTTGCAGGAGTGAAATATCTAATAACTTATCACCTATAAAAAATCAATATCATATGTTTACAAATAACTATTTTGTGAAATTTAAAATAATATGGGGTACGCGACCCGGTCCACGCTAAAAATAAATCAAAATGTCAGCAGTGTGAAGTTAGCGACCTACATAAGTCATTTTTTTCACCATTTGAGACAACAAAAAGGGGAAAAAAAGGCGTGTATATCTGGTAATGGGTTAACGCCAACCAATAATTTTCGCTCAATAGTATTTACATAAAACTGGTTTTAAAGCAGCACACCTCCAGAAGATAACAAAAATACTATCGTCTTACTAATATTTCAAAATGCCTCTTTAAAACATTATATAATTGAAAGAAATCGAAACGTCGTTTAGAAGTGTTGATATGCTCACATTTTGCTCCAAAAACAGAGAGTTCGCTTTCTCACCAACGGTCTATACCTTTTTTTATTATACTAAGAAATTCTGTCATCAGGGCGTTTTTCCTAGTTCGACCCTAGACGTAATGGATTCCGCTTTAACAGTCCTTGGATTGACGCACACAAAATTCATACACAGTAGTTACTATTTTAAAGTTAAAGTTAAACAATCAGTTCTTATCCGTCACAGAAAATTATAATAACACAGACAAAATCCTATCAGTAACTATGCATTATTCATCCATAAATGTTAGTAAGTTTTTTACTTTCGAAATAACCATTAATTTCATTAATAAAATATTTGTTTCAGCACTTAATGTCGTACTTTCTAAAGAGAAACAATATACACCTTTTTGCGACGCGATCTGTTGCTAAAAATCGACCAGAAATAGTATTTTCTCGTGCATGCGCTATTTGCGTAGGGCAAAAGAGCATCGCCCTACATAGAAATGTAGTAGAAGTTCGTTGACAATTCTGAGCTTGTTTAAGGTACAAAGTAGAAAATTATATAAAAAGGCTTTTAACAAAAACACAACAGATGTTAGACCTTTTAACAGTGTGACTTTTCCATAATAACGGTTGTTGCATTTCTGCGTAGGGCAAAAACGCAATACCGATGACTACACCATACTTATAGGCTTTAATAGACGTGATTTCAAGTTTGGCCACCCCTAAAACAGTAATTTTGGGATGACTTAAAGCAGTAAGTACTGATAGCTATAACAGATATACAAAAATTATGAATGATAAAAAGCGCAGACAAAAGTCCTCTGTTAAAGGTATCATATGACGACTTTTTCATCAGTAATTTAAAACAGCAGGGTACTTATTAAAGATTAAATTTTATTACCTACGCCTGTATAACATAATTTTGCACAATTTGTATTGTACACTTGCTTTGAATAAGTGGATTGGCAAGGTGGTAAGTGCCAAACAGATTGACGCGTGACATGTTATTATTTCCAGCTAGTTTACAATATCATTCAACAGACGTTTAATTAAAAACAATGTCATGTTATAATCTTGTAAAATTATGAAAATCGTAATTTAAGTATTTTTTCACATAAACCAATCTTAACAATCATATCTTAAACAGAGGACTTTTATACCTTTTAAAGATCCTGTAACACAATTTTTTCATGGTTTTATTTCATAAATATGATGCTCAAATTAAGATTTGTCAATATTGTAAGTTCCTATAAGCATTATTTATAAAAATATTTCCCAATTTAACATTTCATGTAAATAAAGGGAGGTAATTAGAAATTTATTTTCTATAAATTTTAAGTCAAATTTTCCAATAAGAAATGGATGCATGTAATTTATTAATTAAATATAATGTGCACAAATATTTGCAGTACACATTTTACATATTCTTTGATGTTAGAAAATTGTTTTATTTGCATAATTATATCATATATAACTTATTGCAAGTGTAGTATACACACAGTAACAATATCAATCGCAAAACATACAGGATCTTTAATCATTGAATTATTAGTCACCCATATTTTCGTATTTCTGTTATAAATATGAATTCACGCTTTGAGTACTTCCTACTTTAATGTATCCCAAAATTACTGTTTTCTGGGTGGCGTAACTTGAAATCACATCTGTTATATCTTTAAGTATGATAAATCTTTCGCTACTGCGATTTTTGCCCTACGCAGAATGCGTATACGCAAAATGCAACATCTGTTACATTAGAAAAAGGTTAGAAAGAAATTTTAACCATACATCAATGAAACCCTGGTTCAATATTAATAGAGTTGACGGCCATTTCAACAGACATTCAATGTGCAAAGATCTTATGAAATTGTACATACCAACAGACTGACAGTTAGTACCCTTGAAACCAGGCTGACACGTGCACGTGTAAGAATTACCGTTGTTAAAGCGATTACACGTGGCTCCATTTTGACAGTAGTTTGTGTAGTTATGTTCGCAATCTGAAAGGCATGTGGTGATAAAAAAGTGCTCCTCTTTAAAACGCTATCATAATTAAGTACGTCATTACGTTATCATTCAATTTTATTTTAAAACATATTTCAGAAGGTTATTTTATGTTATGGAAAGCCCAGTTCAATATTATAAAAGAGATATACATGTCAAAAGCAAAAAAAGCGGTTTTTAGTGATTTTTTTCTTATGTATTACACACGGGGCTGTATGGACATTGAACAATATGTTTATATAGAGCAAATAAACGAGCTTACAATGCTTTCCTCCCCCGCTCACAATCCAAACGTTCAGGGACGCTGAAATGAAAAAAAAAACAACTGCAATTGCTTCTCGGCCCTACCACCAATTTTCGAAAAAGGACTTCGAACACAACAGTAAGAATACACATAACGGATAAGGTATTTCGGTTCAACATATGCAAATAGTATGTAAATCCTTTAATGTATTATAATCTTAGAAACCGCAACCTGTTGACCATATTTTGCATTCTTTAATTGATTCTGATTGTCAGACATATTTTTCAGTTATAATTTTACAGAAAATAACTTTTTTTCCTTTGGTGTAATACCGTTATCATTATTCAAAAATAACACACTCTGTTCTTGTTTTGCAAAGTTGTAGAACTACTTTCAATCCTTATTAACCCCGAGATTAATATGAATAATAGTCGAGATATTCCGAATGAAAACAAAAAGTTATAGACCTCTATGCCTTTTTAAAAAGAATTTCGTCAAAACTACGAGTCACACTACCATAATGTAGTTTTGTCAATGTTCTGTATTTGAAAAAGTTTGTCAACCACTTTTAGTTAAAATAAGTCTATCTAAGGTTACATTTATTATGTATATAAACTTGTATCAAAAAAGAAAACATATATTTTACATGCATGTAGCTTATTCTCTATATAAGATATATCGATGCAATTACGCAATGTATTGATTTATGATAAAAAATTAAGATTTTGGATCACTGGAATTTCAGTCTGATGTCAAGAAAACAAATATCAACCAAAAAATCGAAAAATTGAATAAAGCAATATTATTCATTTCCTTTCAAATCTTCAAAATAATTCCCTTACACCAGACAAACAAACGCTGACATATGACAAATATAGATAAACAGTTTATCATTATCAATTAATAGAAAATTACAATGCATTTTTATTCGTCAAACTACTTTTAAAATTGAAAATCTTTCGAATTTTTAAAGTTATATTTTAGATTTAAATTATTTCTTAATCCACTTTTCAAAACATCTACTACGTGTAAGGGCACTTGAGTAAACTGTTGATTCTGTATAATGTGTTAGTCATTTTTTTCAAATCCAAGTTCATGAAAGTGTATTATTTTCATCATAGCGATAAAGAATAATTACTGGTTCTCCGCGTTACATCGTATAAAGGGAACCATTGTCTAACTGTTACGGATTACATAAACCGGTTCTGAAGGCATACATGTGTATTTCATACACGAGTATACATACCCGCGGCAGAGAATGAAAATCAGTTCATCTTACGTTCAGCATAGACATACAGAGTTGAAGAGGACAAGGTCAAGGCTTCGGCGGCAGAAGTTGGGTTGGAGAGCCATTCAAACCTTTAGCGAGCGACTCAGACGATGTTAAACGTATCTTTAAAGCGGAAGCGAGTGCTTCTAAGAAGTACTAAAAGTATATATATAAATCTTCATTATGTGTTGTTGGTCAGGAATCGAACCAGAGACCTCCGAATCGGTAGCCTGGCATCTATACCGATACACCACACCTCACTGGCGTGAGAAGTTAACAAATATATCGATATATTCGTTAGATACCAGTGTTTATTCAATGACCTTTACAAAAGTTAATTTAGTGCCAAGTCCATATTGTTTGACAATAAAATAAAACTATATAAATAGTCTTTTGTTATTGCTTTTTTGCATTACGCGGAATGCATATGCGTTAAATGCAACATCCTTTACAATGGAAATAATCTTATTGTAATAAGGTCTATACTGAAAATTGCGAGAGAGAAAAAGATGAATGTCACAAGGAAACGTTGTTCCTTACTACATATAGACTAGTTCTTACTAAAAAAGAAAGGAAACACTATGTTTTTTCGATAACATTAATGACCTGAAAACGTATAAAAATATTTTTTTTTATATCCTATGGAAAAATAAAGTTTGATGCGTGAATTTAATCTTTCAAAATAATTCACTTACACGTGAGAAATAATATCCTCCATTTTATAAAATACATATTACTTGAAATAAAGCTGTTTTGAAATGAAATCCTTATGAACATTTGTTTTAACATAAGTATTGATAACGCAGTGTTCTTCAAATACCAAATAAATTTATTTTAACCGTAACTTCCTGATCAGTCTGGTTATCAGTTTGACCCTCTGAATAAGTGTTAATGATTTATCCTGTGTTAAATGTGGAAAAACCCATTTGAATTTCATTTGATTTCATTCATAAAAAAAACTTGAAGTGACAATGATAAAGAGCCTAACCAGGTTCTTCACTGGTAGCAAAGGATAATCTCTTTTCAAGTCCAGCTGGTTAGCAATTAAATTACTTATTTAAAAGTAATTTACTTCCGTGTAGAATGTTGAAGATAATCGTAATTTTCAGTGATTTTGCCACTGTAAAACTTTGCTGATTTTGTTTTTAATGATCCGGCGAGATAGTTACGAACACAAAAGAAACCCATCAAGTCAACCATTAAATTCAAAACTTACAAATATTTGTCTGGCCTCAACAATATTGACCATGTCATTTTTATCAAGAATCTGTCAGGAAATTATGTGATTTTAACGGATGTCTGTCCAACAATAATGAAAAAGGTAATGGCATATGTTTACAATTCAGCACTTGTTCTGTCAAATCTGAAAACGGCAAAATTGAAAATATTGCAGGCTCGGTTTCATGGACGGTACTGTCAAGTGCAAAATACCGTCCACGCCCCCTGGCACCGGCTAAAGCAGATTTAAACATTTAAAGCACACTTCCATGTGACGGAAAATGTGGGCTTAAAGAGGGAAGTATCCATAATGCTCGAACTCAAAACTAAAAAAATTCTGAATCATGCCACATTAGTGTATTAATTCAATTTACCAAAATGTTTGATATATGAACACTTTTTATTTCAAAGACAATACAGACAGTTTTGTTTTCTTGTTTTGGTTGTTGTTGTTGTTGTTGTTGTTGTTGCTAATATTGTTTGTGCCTGATTTTACTTTTATAGTAAATAAATACAACCAATACGTACAGTATGGTTACAAACTACATGTATGCTTTTGCTCAAGTATGAACTTTCCTTTTCATTAAATGGAAACGTTGTGTTTACTGAGCATTTATCTTATGTAAATATGTCTTTTATTGGTTAGCCCCATAAAGTGTTATCTTTCCTATACATTTAAGAGGTCTTCATAAAATAAATTGCAGGTTTATCTTTTTCAATTTTAAAAAGATAAGGACATTATTTTTCGGGTTAGATAATGACTATCTAATATAATCCATGTTGCTATTTTATGTCATTGCTCTAATTCTTAGCATAAAACTAAACTATTCTAGGGGAAGGGGGTTGTGGTGTACCTATGCAAAAATGCAGATAAATTATATAAACCAATAAAAACAAGTTTTGTTTAAAGCAATGCGACTTCATTATTTTTAATATAATGAAACCTTTCACCATTCATGACAAAAATCTTTGTCTCCCAATGGATGACTTTCTTCAAAGTTTGTAATAAAATTTATTTCATACACACATACCAGTACAACTGAAACGTTCCCATATTACTATTTAGTGACGCTGTGACTTAAAAATCCCTAAATTACTACATCTACAAAACATCACCTACCGGAACATGCATTGCTGAATAAGAACAGTGGTTCGTTATAAAATATAGATCAGATTTCTTTGAAATAAATGTTTAATTGCCCTTGATTTATTTTCAAATAAAGTAAAGGAAATCTAAATTTATACAAAAAAAAATCCTCGTTCTTCCCTCTAAAACGTGTCCATCTCAAAAAAGAACAATACGGTTGATGCTATTACATGTAGTAATTCGTCTATATTATTTATTGTAACTTACATTTTGATAACGTTTGCAGTGCACATATTTAGTGGAAAGGTCTATTTTTACAAACGATGAATTGATGTATAACAAAATTGTTTAAGAAAATCGTTTATACAAGTTTGTCCAAATATTAGGGCAAAATGATGAATCAATAAAGTAAATGTATGGTCTCTTCAACGGGGTAAATAAGATGTGATTCTCAAATGTTCAAAACATGAAAACATGTAAATAGCTTTTTACTGAAGATATCGTAAAATGAGGGTAGTATCGACTTCAACTTCTAAAACTAAATATTTAGAAATAATAGTTTATGTACATTTTCAGCTCATGCGTAATAGAGCATAAGAATAATTTCATCAATGTGTGTGTGCGTGCGTGTGTGCGAGCGTACAAGTGCTCGTGCATGTGTGTGCGTACGTGCGTGTGAACAAAAGACAAGCCTTTAATCGTATCACGTTAAATCTAACAATATCGTCAATAATCAAACATGTGAACATTCATCATACTCGAGCAACGTTTTTAAGGAATCTAAAACTTTGACGTTAATATGAACGTCATCACCGAGTATAAATGTTAAGGCGGGGTCTGACGATATCTCCAACATATTTGTATAATTTGCATTCAACCCAACGCCTACAGTAACCATTATCTTCCCAGAGTCCTTAAGTTGCTTTGTTTCTGCTAAAACCTGTTGCATATCATTTGTATTTCCGGAGGTAACAACCACCACGATCTTCCTGGCGTCTAGTCTTGAACCTTTTCCTGCTGAAAATCCATTTTGATTTAATTCATTCAACGCGTTCGCTAAATTGGCAGTTGTTGAAATAGTCTGCCTAGTTTTCTTACTAATATCAGCAATTTGATCGGCTCGAGACTTATATGTTGTAAAGTCGTAAACATTGTGGACTGTCTCTGTAAACGTAGAGTAACTAAACTGAGTAGCCTTTGATCCAACTTTTGTGATCCTGAGTAAATGTATGACGGCTCTGATCTGGATATCCAGCTCTTGGTGTTTAATACCGGCTGATACATCCATTAGGATCGAAACATCTGATACTTTAGATGAACATTCTGAAAAAAAGTCATTGCAGAATAAGATTAAGAACAATCTTAACGTAAGAAAAAGTAAATATTTAATCTTATACTGACGTTACTCTAGGACAGAAAGAATGAAAATATGTTTAACTATATTAAGTAGGATATTAGTATACTGAACATCATTTGGTAATGAATGTTAAATCTTATGCTGTATTACTTTTTGTACCATTCGTACCATTGTACATTTATACAAGTAAATCATTTACCTAGCTCTACAACATATCATGTGTTCTAATAACTGTTACATGTCTAAATTGATGTTTCTGCAGAAGAATGAAAATCAAAAATATATCTTTAGTGCAATGCACTTCTTTATTCGCCTTTATCTCCAATCTGAGCTCATACCTTTTGGATATTATATCAGTGATAAATTCTAGATATATAGTTATCTATTTTTGATGTTTCAATAGAAAACGAAAACGAATTTAACTTACTTTTGCAACCAAACATTGTGTGTTTTAGAAGTGTTTGTATCCCATCCTCTGTTGCCATATGAAATACGTAATCATTAAATGATGATATTTCTAACAAGTTCTCATGAAGTATTGATTTTCCGCTGCCAATTGTGTATATCTTAAAGCCATTGACCTTTAATACATTTGCTTCTAGGATGGTGTCTGGCGCATCCGACAACAGTCCATCTGTTAGTAAAATAATATACCGTTCAACGCTAGGATCCTTTCGTGCACCGTTAGAGGTTTGGAACACATCTCCTCGGACTATCTTCAAAGCATTTCCAGCTAAACTAGGACCGCTACAATTAACTTTTAACAAATCCATCGCGTTTTGTAAATCTGTCTCGTTGTTGAAGGTATTGAAGTAAAAGTGGACGATCGCATGTAGAGAATATGTTATTAGGCTAAATTGGTAACGATAATTCGGTGGCCCAATTTGGTATTGGTATTTTGATATGAACCTCTTGACGTATTGTTTCTGTTTCTCAAATCCATCATCACCTTCACTCAGGGAAGTGTCCAAGACAAATACAATGTCGGCTTTTTTATATGGCGTACAAACATCTGGAATGTATATAAGGGTATTTATAAATTAACATCAGATTTGTTGCATTTTAGTCTCGCCAATTAAATTGGAAGCTTTTTACCATAAAGAAATGATCCAAAAATCGGTGCTATCAGAATTTATTAATCTATTTATAGCGACTTTGTTGCGTATATTGATAATAGCATATGATTTTCAAAAGAATACGTTCAGCAATTGCTTAAAATCGATTCATATATTTCTATGCAAAATTTTTATTTTTAATAACAGTAGATGTTTGAAAACAGCAAAACAAATTCCAAAGGTAAAATGTATATAATTCTTATGAAGTGATGAATAATTTGTCTGCAAGTATATGAAGGAATGTATTATGGCAGCAAGTTTATAAACATTTAATTGCTGAAATATACACATAGCGTATTGTTCAAATTTTCATTGAAATACCTCATTTAAAAAAACACAGTAATCGTATTGTAAAACTTAAATTGCACAAAATAAGCTTTTTAGTGTTCATTATTTACTTTAGCCAGTATACAAAAACAACATAAAACTTTATTCCGTGACCACTTGAATTTAACTTACCAATTTGTTCACAATTTGATCCCATCCAACCATCGGCACAGTTACATGTATATTTTGTACCTCCATTTAAAGTCGAACATGTTCCACCATTTATACAATATAAGGAACTACTGCAATCTTAATAAAGATACAAATAGTTGCTTAGATACATGAGAAATACAAAATTATGGATATTTTAGCATAATTTCGAAGGAAAAATAATCTAAGACAGTTAATGTTTGTTTTATTTACAATTTCCAAGCAAAATATAAGTAATTCCTTGTTCCATATTGAAATTTTATATTTAGAAATAACCAAACTTTCAAAAAGTTTAATTTAATAAATATGATTTCTGCTTATCTTTGAAAGGTGTTGCTTTAACTTATGCCAAACCAATCTTTTTAATTCCAGTCTTTTCTGTGTGCAGTAAAATACCAGATGGCTTAACACCATGACCGTAACCAAACTTACCAATCTGTTCACAGTTTGAACCCATCCAGCCATCGGCACAGTTACATGTATATTTTGTATCTCCATTATAAGTGGAACATGTTCCTCCATTTTTACAATATATGGAACTACTGCAGTCTAAAGTAAATTTAAGACTGTTAGTTTGTTTTGGTTTATCGGAAATATTTAAAGTATCTGTCCATGATAATTGAACACACTACATGTCTTTTGTATGTTAGACACATTTAAGTACAGAAACAGCTGATAATATGTAATAATGATCTTCATATAACATGCATCTGGTTTACAGTCAGATAATGTTATAAAATCAATCAGATCAAATAGCATACCGGTATACAGTATGGATGATCAAAGGACATTTTGACATATGCATTATTCACACATAAAGTACCTACATTTCTTTCGTAAGAACCATTTATTAATTCAATAAAATATTTTTATCAGCACTAAATGCCGTACTATCTGAAACAAATTTAACCACCAAATTATGAAAATCTGGAAAAAATGTGTGATCCTCGGAACCATTAATCACAACAAAATGATTGAGTCTGTACATAAAGTGCTACATCCATCCCTCATGCCCCAAGCACCGGCTTGAGCGGTACTCAATTTTCAACACTTAAAAATGCCGGAATCAATTATCCCGAAGGACCAGAAAAATATAAAAACACTGAAGCCCTGATTCACTATTTATAAAGCTGACGGGCCATTTCAACATACATTTAATGTGCAAAGATCTTATGAAAACCATACATACCAACATACTCGCAGTGAGTTCCCGTGAAACCAGGCTGACATGTGCACGTGTAAGAATAACCGTTGTTTAAGCGGTTACACGTTGCTCCATTTTGGCAGTGGTTTGTGTGGGGATATTCGCAAACTGTAAGGTACATGGTGGATAAAAAAGGTTCATAAAAAAGTGCATTGATTCAGTTATTCGCCTTTAACAACGCTATCATAATTAAGTACGTATAAGTACGTATACGTCATTAAATTATCATTTAATTTCTTTTGAAAACATTTGTCAGAAGGTTATTATATTCCATGGAAAGTCCTTTTAAAAAAAGAAAAAGATATAGATATTAAAGCATATTAAATAATTTTCTTATGTATTGCACAAGGGGCTGTATCAATATTTAACAGTACATTTATATAAAGAAAATTAATCAACTTACAATGCGGTCCACCCCCGCTCACGATCAAAACGTTCAGGGACGCTGAAATGGAAAGACATTACAATACAGAACCCAAGTACTTTTCTCATCTTTCGTCAAAATTCCAGTCCCGAGATCATTTTAATCTTAAAGCAGGTCATGTACACCCATTTATAGAATAACTGTTGTAAAGTCACATATTACTACTTGTTTATGTCACTTCAATATCCTAAGGAAATAAACATTTTTTTTTTGCAATTTTGAGTGTAAAGGTCCGCAATTTAAGATTAAATCTTCTGTATTGGCGAAAGAATATGTAAATGGTAGTCTACAAATAATTAATTTATGTGCCTATAAGTGTCTGTCATGTAAAAGTGTGTACACGTACGTTTTGTAAATCGGAACTTGAAAAATTGTTCCACCTCTTTTGGAAATATTTATTTGCCAAATATTGATTACAGAGATTATTCAAATTGTTAGGAATCATGAAGCCTCGTTTGACATTGATTGTCAAACTTTTTATTAGGTAACATTAAAAAGAACCATTCATAATATATATTTTGTCTAGAGATAAAGAAATGTGTTTATGCATGTGAAAAAAAATATTTTACCAAATATAGATGGATTAGCTGGATAAGGAGAATAAAGTTACAAGCTGAAAAAGAAGAATATTCGTTCTTTAAGCTGATACTAGTTGCCTCATTCTTTCAAGGATTGCCATGGCCGGGAGTGCAATCTTAAACAAGGTAATTAATTCAGACAAAAAAGTGAAGAGACCCTTCGACAGTCATGGTTATGGAATTCCAGTAGGCAGCTTGTAGATTAATAATAAGTTTTAAAGCAATTGTTATCAAGTCTTAAACTGACCACATATTACTCAAAATTTAGTATTTCATAGAGTTAAATTTAAAACATCAATGTGAGTTGGTCCTTGTTAAATTTGAACAGATATAAGTAGTCAATAAGAAGGTCTCTGTCTTGTAGCTGAATGACTTGTATAAAAGATATCGTTGCAATTACACAATGTATTGATTTATAATAAACATTATGAATTTTGATCATTAAAATCTACGTTTGTTGTCAGGAAAACAATTATTCACAAAGCAATTTCAAAAAACTAAATAAAGACAGATGTTAATTCATTTCTTTCAAATCTTCAAAATAATTCACTTACATAAGAGAAACAATATCCTTTCCTTTTTAACAAACATTTTGTTTGAAGAATGTTGTCAAATTAAAATTAAGACATTTGTTCCAGATAAGAATTGATAATGCAATATTTAGTCAGAAAATAAAACATAAAACACTCGGTCACTTCCTGATTGAGATATATATCAGTCGTATATTCAGTTTTATTAGTTTTGAATGGCTGCATGAAGACCTTGCCAAGTTGTTATCGAAGAAATGGATATGGAATAAACATTGTAATTTTAGTGAATTGCATGCTTTTTAAGATTATCTCTAAACAAACCTATATTTGGTCGCCGCATTTAGACATTTCAATTTTAATTGGTCATGGTCTTTCACATATTTATGAAAACTTGCAAATGAAATTAATATGCCCACACTCTAAAACTAAAACACCTGTTAGTTTGAACATAGTAGTAGTATACCTATTTTATTTGTAAAGGTTAAATACGCACTGTTTCAATTTGAAAATATTTCAGACATTTCATTTAGGATATTAAAAATATTTACCTATTCCTCATTCAAGTATTTCTTTTATTCAAGTAAGTGATATATTTCTATTGTAAAAAATGAAACATAATTTCAAATTAAAGACTTAAGTCAAATAAATTAAAATAAATTTAAAGTGTCTCCTATAAATGATTATTAATGACATCAATAATGCGTTTTATATGAGCCGCGTCACGACAAAACCAACACAGTGGGTTTGCGACCAGCATGGATCCAGACCAGCCTGCGCATCCGCGCAGTCTGGTCAGGATCCATGCTGTTCGCTATCAGTTTCTCTACTTGTTAAAGGGTTTGTAAGCGAACAGCATGGATCCTGATCAGACTGCGCGGATGCGCAGGCTGGTCTGGATCCATGCTGGTCGCAAACCCACTATGTTGGTTTTGTCGTGACGCGGCTCATATCATCTTTATATTTTATATTGCGTAAACCATGAATTGCTCACTTTTCTAAACTTCATTTCAAAAATCGATTCATACACAGTGTTTACTGTGACAATCTGAGAGTCGAGATCCATCGAGAAACAATGGAAAAGAAAACAAATAGTTAAACATCGCATGTGTATACAAATACAGTCATACAATATGTTTTCAGATATGTTATTTACGGAATGTCTTTATTTAGATCTAACAATATACAAGTTAATAAGAATTTCTTACTTTAAGTGAAAAATATAAATATCTTGACAAATTATTAAGTTCTTTTTCATTTTTAGATAACATTAAAGTTTCCATTTTTTGAAGTGTAGGCCAACGGCAAAAATATGGTTTTAAAAATTTCTTACGAAGGTTATAATATTTTGGACAAACGAGTAAAAAATGGAATTCGTTTTCAATGACATGCATATTGCACTGTTGACATAGTCTATTTTCTCTTACAATCATTATAGTATTTCGTATCAGACAGCAAGAAATCAAGAAAAATTATATATGAATGTTGTTGGCGATGATCCGATATTACATAAAGACATGTATAATTTATATAGCAGATGATAAGAAGTTCACATATTTTTATTATTCATCAAATTAATGTTCGTACTAAAACACTTGAAACTTTAACAACATTTTTAAGCATTATTTATTACGATATTCAAATGATACATTCCTATTTGAGGTTTTTTATTCAGTATTTGAAATACCCCATTAGCATGCTACGTACCTCTTAAAATTAAGTACTTTGATACACAAAATATAAACAAATTAAGATTAATAGCAGTGCGATACCAGTATATTTTATTATGGTTGTAATTTTTATACATTTACCTAACGTCAGCCAGGTCTTACCTCTGTATTAAAATAAGCTGAAAAGTCGCCATATTTTAAGTGTTTGTGTCTCTTTGAAGTATGGTGGTTAATTTAGTTAAAATGCAGTTTATTAAAGCACTGATATGAATATAAATAATCAAACCAATCGAAATAAAAACAAACCAATATTTTTATTCCCTCTCGATCCTTCCCCAATATATATATATAATTCGTCTGCACCTTCCGCTATCCTAAACATTGTGATGGTAAATGGGAGATAACCCCTATAACAAATGTGCTTAGTGCTACACTGGTTATGCTATCTTGATAATGTTTATGTTAGATTATCATACATGTATGTTTAGTTGAGGGTGCAACGTTAATTTAACTGTTTTCTATCAAATTTTACAATATTATAATAAACGAATTTATAATGCTAGATATTTGTCAGTTAGTAAGTAATATATATATTTTAGTTAGTAAGCTTTATATTTTTGTAAATATACTGTTTATTGGATTACGTATAAGTACGCTATGTTAAAACTATGAAAACAAATAAAATATTCGAACCTTCTCAGCAAAATATTTGCATATTTGTATAACAAGATTGACAACAAACTGTCGACAATAAATTGCATGTGATTTGAAAAAAAAAGTATGTAAATGTTATGTTTTTGTCTTATGTTAATTTGCGTTACGTTACATTCCGTTATATTATATTTTGTTTGTTATGAACGCACAATTATTATATATGTAATTTGCTACTGCTACTGCTGTGCTACTGCCAACTTCACGTTTTCGTTTTATAAGTTTGCTACTGCATCTGCTCACTGCTACAGGTAATGATATTTTTGCTATAAAATATGCACAGCAAAAAATAGACAGTAAGCAGAACGCTGTATTTTGTGAAATTTCGTAATCTGTCTTGCTTATTAGCCCCAATCCTTAAGTGATATTAATAATATTTTAGCATCAGAATATCATTTTTAATTCGCGTCATCCTATTCTATTCAATCTACTTTAATGTAAGAAACCAGTTGTTTGGAAATAACCACATCTGATATATTTGCATATATCTCCGCATCAGTGTATATATCAACATAAAAATGCTATACTTAATGTACCTCTGAAAATAAGTACAGACACTCTTGTTCATTAACATGCTTCTCATAAAAAAATGAATTTTCACCATGTTTATATTTGCATTTTTGAAACTGTTGTTCGGTGTTTGCCCATATAAATTTCGTTTAAATGTACATTGACCAGAGGTCTGTAGTCGCTGATTTGCAGAAACCCGATTAATACTACCAACCACAGAAAATATCATGAAAGGATGAAAACATAGAAAATTATATGTATATATTAAATGTAAGTTACGTACCTTCGTCCGGATTCAAAGTCGTCCAGTTTGTAAAGTGGAGAAAAGATATACATCATATACACATCATTTAATGATAAAATATAACGTTATGTTCGGTCATGAAATCAATTATATGAAGTGTTCAGAAGTATTCGGCCAGCATTACAAAGCAACCGATATTCGATTGTAAAATTAAAATTTCTATAAAAATACAATTACATATCTATTACACAATTTATATAAAATTGTCTTTTTTTCTGTCTAAAACATGTCTCTATAATTTAGAATGAATGGTTATCTAAATACCGTTAGTGTTATTTTATAGCAATTGATGTTGAATAACAAAATGTACAGTGAAAATCGTCATATTGTGGAGTTGCAATACATGTAAAAGCTAAATGATTGTTGAAAACATATCATTTATGTCACTGCTCAGCTATTTCTGTGCTACTGCTGTGCTATTGCTAACTGCTGTGCTACTGTTACTGTCAATTTAACGTTTTATAATTTTGCTACAGTTACTGCTGTGCCACTACTACTGCCAATTTCACGTTTTATAATTTTGCTACTGCTGTGCTATTGCTAACTGCTGTGCTACTGTTACTGCCAATTTAACGTTTTATAATTTTGCTACAGTTACTACTGTGCCACTACTACTGCCAATTTCACGTTTTATAATTTTGCTACTGCTGTGCTACTGTTACCGCCAATTTCACGTTTTATAATTTTGCTACAGTAACTTGTGTGCTACTGTTACTGCCAATTTCACGTTTAATAATTTTGCTACTGCTGTGCCACTACTAACTTCACGTTTCCTACTGCTGCCGCTACTGCCTCTTCCCATGCATCAAATCCAAATATTGTGATACCAAATACTGTGAAAACGACACAACAAACAGTGTCCTGTCTACTGTATATTGCTTAATGTCTATTGCAATGACATTGGTCAAAGAACTATAAGTTTCAGTGTTTGTGTATTTACTCATATAGGTGGCAGTCACATAATCAATGTGACGCACGCATCCAGGCTATCTCAAAACTGTGTTCACTGCGATTATATTAATTAAAACCTGGTTTTAATAAAGGATCGATCTTTTATTCTTGAGTTTACTACTTCTGGGCCGAATAACGTGCTCGATTTCGAAATATTCACTGTATATGCCTTACTGGGGCTTGAGCGGTCAGAGAATCCTAGCGTATAAGGCGTATACCTTCCACCGAGTACCTCACGATCGATTGGTGGCTGGTATCCAGGATAATAAGTATGCCCTAAAAATTAAGTAGACCATCCTGGCATGTATACCCCCAAATCGGATCCTGGAAATTGGCCTGTTTGCATGTAGGATCGTGAACCGGCTTTAGCTTGTGGCTTGAGCCTTCAATAATCCTCACGCCATATCCCCGGCCTAGCTAGAATATACCACAGGGTCTCGAGTGGGCGCTTGACAAGTAGAGATCAACCTTTTGACTATCCTTAGCCATTAATTAAAAATTTATGAACAATAATTGATTGTGCTCGATCATATGGCTTAAAGCCAACCAATTTCTATATACAGGGGCATTCGTGGCCGAATGGTAAATGTCTTCGACTCGCAAGCACTTATCCCTAACCGCTGTGTTTGAATACCGGAAACGAATTTCGTATTGCTTAAGTGGGAAAGCGGGTGGTTCTAACCAAGTGCCCGTTCGGGTATGAAAATGACCAGAGTGGCACCTAGGGTCTTACTCCACCAAGAAAGCTGAACTTCTAGTTGGTCATATGGGAAACATTTTCCAACATAAAACAAACATTAGATAGTGACTGTGTATTGTGTACTACTTACTATGAAAACCTTATAGCACAAGACGTTAACACATTACGAATATTTTGCTGACATCGCAAACGACTGTGTCTAGCTTCCTGTCTTCTGTTTACTGCCTTCAGCACACTGCATACTACTAACAGCTTAATTTACTGTCCCCTGCCGTTTGCTTAAAGCGACTACACTGAGGTTTAAAAGCCTATAAGAACATAAAATTTGAATTTTCGTACATAAATTAGCTGGGGCACTTTAAACTGAAATATATGCAAAGATAGTCAAGAAATATACTGCGAAATAAATTGAAAAATCGTATTTTTATGCTTTTCTTAGCTCGATTTGTGTGAAAAGCGTTAAAACGCTTTTCAATTTTGGTCATATTTTTACAATTTGAATAATTATTCTGGAAAACAAAGTGCGCGAATGATCTGAAATTTTTTCACAAAGATTAGTGGTCTAAACCTACATCAAATGGTATATTTATCTGGAAAGATATTTTTAGTTCCATCATTTCAAAAAACCTCAATGCCCCTTTAATGATTACTATTTCTTTCTGTTTCAAAATATACAACCTATAAAGAACTTTATAGTCGCAGTCTCTGTGCTTTTACATATAGATGTCCAATAAGCCATCCTCGTTCTTTTTACTGATTCTATACAGTTAAGTGATGCTAACTTGCTTCTGAGAATTATGCAATTATAACAGAATTCAATAGCAGAATATCAAAATATGTCATAAAATATCTTTTTAAAACATAAATGAGATTATCATAACAAGAACCCATATTTGAATCATTATTTTGCCTATTTATGAATAATTAAGCAAATATCAAGGTTTTCCTCTCCAATAAAGGAAAAATTTTACGCAAAATCAATATTCATTATTTTCAACGGGTTTGCCGGCCATCTTGGACGCCATCATGGATTACTGAGCCAAATGAATATCCATTCCGGAAACTAGAGACCTAGTATATAAAACTTGCTTTTGGCTGACATAAACCACTTCGTTGTCATTATACCCTATTTGCAGCACTAATAAGTGTGCATGTGTAAAGGTCTCATATTTGCGTCTACTTTGATACGATCATGCTGAAAATTTCAGTAAATAAAATTTAGAGACATATTAATATTATATTTCATTTATTGAACTTCATAAGAAAAACACATTTAGTAAGCATGCCAAATAAAACCTAAAAATGCGTTATAAAATTATTCTTATACATGTACATTGTATATGGTCTGCCCACCCTGACTGTTAATAACAACCTGGCAGCCTTATGTCATTGATGTGACACAGCCTTTTCAGCTCACCTGTCACAAAGTGACATATGGTACCCGGTGAGCTATTGTGATCGCTTTTTGTCCGGCGTCCGCCCGTAAACTTTTATTTTATAAGACATCTCCTCATAAACTGTTTAGTCAATTTCATCCAAAGCACAAGAACTTTTTCTGTACTTTAGACATAAGAAGGGCAATTGACAATTAAGCATCAATATATACATACAAAAGGTGAACAAGAGGTGTCATAACATGTGCATTTGCGCGAAATTATTATTTTGTAAAAAAGAGAAAGTAGCTGATAGAATTTTAGCCGGATTGCGTTGAGAATCTGTATAAAAGTTAACAAACCAAAAGGCTTCAGTAAACAATATACATGTATAAAAAGAGTTCCATTTCACATGATATCTCGTTTTGGGAGATGCAGAATGGTGTAAATATTACAAAAAGACTAAACCTATTACTTTCTATGTAATAATAAGGTTATAATGTTGTTGGCTGCTTTTAGGTAAAATATAAATATTGTATAAAGATTTTGATTTTCTTAAAAAGGGCACTATCCACAAACAATAAGAGTCTCTACCAAATGAACCATTAAAAGGTAACTATATGACTAAGTTAGTATCAAAGTACTCACAACTTAAAAGGTGTAACATAAAGCATTTTGTTTCGCCAAATTCATAAAATGCTTTAGATATATTATATGTTATCGATCCATCGTTCAATTGTAGATGAAATAGCTATATGTGTTTACACTTGACTGTCAGGGTGAAATGTTAATAGCTGGTTATAAATGTGTTAAGGTGTGATGTAAAGCAATTTATTTTACAAAGTACTGTACGTTGTCTTAGTATAAACATCACCTTACGCTATAGATATATCTGTATGTATAATTTGCAATCTACATTGAATAGAATGGTTCTCATTCTTGGCATTTAATGAAAGCATGGTACGTGAAAATAAGTGTTATTCTGTTACAAAAAAAATCGTTTAAAATTGCTTATTTAAAGGGAAAAAGAAACAATTTAGTAGCGTTTGACCTTATGTACCAATAATACAGATCCGTATTTTTATGAATTGTCGTACACTAAACGTAAGTAAGACGTGTCGAGCATGCGCAGCGTGAGAAGCTGACACTTCCGGTTGCAGACACCTGTAGAATTCACATAAAATATGAAATAAACTCTTATAATTGCCATTAACAAGGTCATATCGAGAAGAAAATGTTTAAAAATTTAAGAAAAAAGCTTGAGCAAGGTGTCAACCAAAGTCCTTTGAAAGGAGCGTTAGCATCTGCCTCAAAGGTAAGGAAATATGGCTTCCTGTAAAAGGTAAACAAACAGAAATTTGCCGAAAGAAAACGAAAGTGCAAGCCAAACTGAAGTTTGCAGTGAAAACAGATATGTATATGCCATTTCCAGCCTTGCTATTTGTTTAAATTCTTTAGTGACTTGGTTGAGAGCCAGCATTGTAATGATAGATTGAGAGGTCCGGATACTCGAGGCATTTTGAAATAACTTATTTTTTTGCCAGTTTCACGAATGATTTGTTGTATCTGAATAATTAGTCCAATATATTAGAGTTACAGGCTTGTTATAGTTTTTGTCGGTCAAGCCTGACGTCTAATAGTTATTGCTCAAAAACGCATAGCATCATAAAAAATTCCAAAAATGTCTATTGTCTTGCCTTTCAAGCTTTATTCAAAAGCTTATCATATTTTCTTTCAATTTCATGCTCAATCATACACAAAAACTTTCAAACGATGTACTGATCAATTTAAAATAAAATATAAACATCAATCTATTTTTGTCTATCAGCCATACTGGTTAAGCAAGGTGCTTTACAGATTGATTCCAAATTTTTGAACGGAAAAATATATTCGAACACACTGACGGTGCATGGGCAATTATTTCGTTAAAAAATATTCCGTTAGATTGTTCTGACTCGGTTAAACGCTTGCATTTGAATTAGCCAATCAGATTTCGCGCACTTTACGGCCGCCATTTGTTTATCGGCTGTAAAAGGAATTGAAATACATTAGAGGATTTAATCATGATTTTTCGGATGTGACAGTTTAATTATTTTGACAAAAGGTATTTATTTTTTAGTTTTGTTCATAAATAGGTCAAAAATTATGTAAATACACGCTGTCTTCATTGTTTTTCGTTCCGCCCGATTTTCTGGCGGAACATGCTATGGGTTTTTGAGCAATTTCGATATGACATTGCTTTGCCCAGAAGCAAAAATATCTCAAAGCGACGTCATATTTATAGGACTACTGAATAATATGAAATTAGGCAAAGCCTATGAACGAGGAAGTTGGTTAGAAATAGTTCATTTTTCTGTTTTAAAGGTATTATTCGGTATTTTTTTATGCACCGCTTCCGTTTACACTCATAATAGATCTAGTAGACGATTAAACACGGCAACAAAAAAAATATGTATAATATCTTGCCTTTAAAGCTTTAATCAAAAGTTTATCAAATATTCTTTCAGTTTCCTGCTCAAAGTTAAGTAAAGCGCTTTACACAGATTGATAACAAATTTTTTAACGAATAAATAATTTCATGCATGTTGATGGTTCACAGGCAAATATTTCATTCAAAAATATTAAGTTTAAAACTTAAATGTAGTCTGACACTTTTAAACACTTGCAGCCAATTAGCCTGTCAGATTTAAATTAGGGTTTTGTGATAGCCATTTGTTTTATGGCTTGTATAAAGAAATTAATTAGATAATAGGATTTATTCATTATTTTTCGGATGTGCCAGTTTGATTATTTTTTTAAAAGGTAATTATTTTTTACCTTTGTTCATGAACATCTCAGAATTAATTTTCATTTACATATATACGCTGATTTAAGTGTTATATTGTTCCAAAAGATTTTCTTGCAGAACATGCTATGTATGGTATCAGGTATATCATATAAATAAACTTATGTAAATGAATTGTATATAAAACATTTGTAAAATTATGACATGATATTGGTTTATATACTTTCAGCTATTAGATGAAAAACAACCTGAAACTTCTCCATTAGCAGAGAGTACTCCCAAAAAGCCAGGGGCTGCCAATGATGATGGGAACCAGTCCAATGCCTCTGATGTCTCGGGGTATGCAACAGCTAACCAGTCAATGGAAGAAAGTCCAGCCACAATACCTGTTGGTCAGCTGATAGATATTCCACTACAGGACACAAGTAGTGAGGTAAGCATTGCTTTTGATGTCTTACCCTTCTTACTGTTGTAACTTGAAATACTCTTAAAGAATAATATAGTGCTGTATGTTATGAAACATTTTTATAAAGGTAAAATTATGTTATGTTTTGTTAAATTCTCGAAAAAGTTGTAACAACAATAATATAATGTTGTATGTAATGAAACAGTTTTATAAAATTTATAAAGATAAAGTTATGTTGTTCAATGTTGCCAAAACATGATAAATTGTAACATTGAATATAGCTCTGTTAGTAAACATACTTTGAAAATGTATGTTAGCAGAATGAGATGTTGTCCAACAAAATATTATGCAGCTACAATGTACTTCATAAAGGTGTTTTACTGTTTAGCTATGATTTTGTGCATGCATCATTCCCTCTAATGGAAATATACCAGCATATTTCTTTCATACAGGTATTTGCTAGCTGTTCTTTCTTCAAAGTTAAAATAATTGTAAACTGCAGGTAGCAAAGATAAACGTTTATACACTGTAAGGATGTTAAATTGTTAATGCTTTATGTTTTGTTAAAGACCTTCAAATTTCATGTCTTAAAAAGAGTTTTACGTGTATCCTGCCAACTTACTGAAAGTGGTTCTACCAAGCCAGTGTCGGTTTTTGCTTGAAATAGTGCCTGAAGCTTGAAGTAGGATTTAGCTTGTACTGTCTGATTTAGCTTTTTAGTCTTTGTACATGTATAACCTTTACATATATTTTAGGTCCTAAAAAATGAGAAAATAAGAATCATTTCACCATGAAATATGTTTATTTGCATAATTATTCACTTTATATTTACTGTTTTCTCGCAAAGCTATTATTCATGTATATTAGTTAAATGTTATTTTACTTTTGAATACATGCACTTAACAAAATAGACATAGTATTGTGTAAATAAAAGGACTTGTTGTTATGTACATTGAATGTGGATTATTTTTAGTTCCACTTATCTAAAAAAATATAGATCTATTGTCATGACCCATTTGTCAGCACCAGTAAACCTTTTTTGTTAAGTGAATTTGTGCTCATTAACTTAAATTTTATCATATAATGGTGCTGTTTCTATCCCTGAGAAAAGTGGAGCATGCTTTTTATATAGCTGTTATTATTGTAACCCAATAAATATTCACAACCAATTAATATCCACTTATTTGCGGAAGGCATTGAAGCTTGAATATAAATTTGCACAAATAAAGCAGCAAGATTTTGTACATTAATTGTAAAAAAAAAAGTTTCATTTGCATACCATGATTTTGACAAATTGTTGCATGACCAAATACTCAAATTTTAAAGGCATCTGTTAGAAATCAACCAAAAAATATGATGTATTGTTGTAAAGCATTTAATACACAATTTTGTTAAATAAATACCTTTTATTAAATAAATATCTGCCAGACTGGTAATTCGTCGTAGCTTTATAAATATATCATATGTTTCAGTCTTCCGCCTCAAACCTTCCTGGTGATCTTACACCCCAAGCTTCACGTTCACGAACATCGTCCATCAGTTCCATGACAAGTGACAGCTCATTCTTCACAAATGTTAGCTTTCCCCAGCATCACTACTCTCTCCCATCGGACATGGAGTCCGAAATGGACGAGTCAGGGACAGATCTTAACACAGTCAGCAAAGAAGATCTTTATCATTATATACAGAAATATCAGAAGAGGGCCACCAGGTAAGATAATGGTATTCAAAGTAAACAAATAGCATGTAAACTGCAAGATTAGGTATTTGACTGGGGTCAAGGTCATCAGGTAGGGAAATTTTACAATGTTTTGAAGAAATAGTGGAAATTTGTTACATGTATGTATAACATATTCTATTTTACAAAAAGGGAAATTTCAATATAATATTGAAATGGGGTTTCTGCTTTAGGCAGTTTAAAGTAAACATTATTTTTTTAAGGACGAAAATAAATATACAAATAAGATAACATGTTATTAATTTTTGAAGGGGAATTGGGCCGAATTTTGGCCCTAAAATCCTGAAATGAGTGCCCTGATTGTCTAGGAAACATGTGTGGACTTTGTATTAAATAAAATAAAACAATAAGAATACAATATGTAGTATATCATTGTTAAGGCAATTATTTCTAGGCATTTCTGTATATCTTAAGATGAATGGAAATTGTTCAGAAGCCTGCTGCAGTAATGTGTACATTGAAATTTAAGTTAAACAGCTTTTTTCTAAGGCCTAGAAAAATTGTGTTTCAATTCATAAACTATTCTGCATATAGTTTTATGCTAAATCTGACCTCACAAATTATTCCCATCGTAAAATGTTACCTGACTTAACATGTACCCGTAGTTTCTGCATTGAAATGGTTTATATTAACTTTGAAAGCATGCACTATATTTTTCAGATACAAATCCAAATTTATGGAGCTTGTCACAGTATATAAAGATATGGTTCAGGAACGAGACAAATTTAAAGTGAGTGCTTTCTTTTGATATCATCCTAAAATAATTTTTGGATTTTAAATTTAAACAAAATTTTTTTATGCCAATGAGCATATTTTAACTGCCTGTCTGCATGCGCTACGGAAAATAGCTAGGGGGCCATTTTACTGTATTCAGAACAAAAAAGAACAGTAAGAGCTTGTTCCATATCACTAGAATAAGGTACCACTAGCTCTCTGTTATACAAAAGGAAATAGCTAAAGAAATAGCACTTATTCCAGCAGTCTGATGGACAACCGATTGTCTATCTGTTTGTCCGTACGGCTATTGAAAACTCGGATTACACATTTTGTCGGATGATGATTATTTGAAAAATAAAATGACAGTGCAAATCAAGTTGGTTTACAAATTTTCATAATCTCGTCTACTTTCTAATTACAGTCTTTATAAGAATTATCAATGAGATAAAATTTATCTCCTTAATTTAAAATATTTGGGTTCTTTTCCAGCTTATTTAGGGATGCAAAAAGACTGTTGCTTTGAAAATAAGCACAACAGTTTGATGTTATTATGAATGATTATGCACTGCTATAACTGTTAAAGTTCATTTGTACTAGGGGATAACTTTGGAAAAAAACAACATTTGCTAAGGTCAAACATCTATGGAAACTGGAGTATTTATGAAATGCAATTCTTTCAGAACACACTAACACAATCTCAGGACCGGGCTTTCCGTCGTATATCAGAGTTGAAGGAACAGATACAACTAGATCAAAAAGCCAAAAAAGATCTGGAAGAAAATTATACATTTGTCATTGAAGAAAAACAGGAATTTATCAAGGTTTTGCAAAAACAAGTAAGTAATGATTTATCTTTACAGCTAATTCCCCATAAAGAAATAAAATGTATAAATATTATATACTTTTTCATTTATGCCCATGCAACACAGAACAATACTGGGAAAAAATGCATTCTGAAGGTACTTTTGATTCTTTTTGTAGGATATTCAAATACTCAGAAACTTTGTATAAATGGCAACAACGGGCATTTACCATCCACATATTCATGAAAGTAGATAAGTACATTGTAAAAAAAAGGTCCATTTAGGTCATGAGATTTCAGCATTTAATGGGAAAACGATCTGACATTTATACAAAATGTATTGTTTTGTATTTTCAGGTTCTGTTGTTAAAAGAAGGCAAGGATATTCCACCAGATTTACAAGAACAGATTCAAGCTGGTAAAGAGGCAACTCAGAGTGAATCTGAGCAGATAGCGGCACTGCAAGCCGAACTCAATTCTCATAAAGACAAGGTACTAATTTTTGTATATTTTCTCGTACTTTAAGGGCCGGTATATTTCTTTATTTTTGTAAGATTGATTGATTATTGTGTGTAGATTTTTTTGTATAATGTATTGATTAAAGTACATTGGCACCCCATCCATGTTAATGCTGATGTCAGGTTCAAGGTCCAACCCCGGATATATACGAATTTTGAAAGTGATTTTAGGCTTGTTTTAGTTACTGACTTGGGTGTTGAAAGACATAAAAATATTTAAGTTATAAAAATAAGTTGCTTCAGACAGTAAATACTAGTCAAGATTGTATAAGATTTGTAGGCCGGCCTAGGTCTGCAATGATGTCATTGTCCAGAAATTTTCTGTCATATTTGATCAGCTTTCAAAGCTTTAACACTTACCCTGCTGGAATTAAAATTGATTAGCATATTTCAGCAGTATAGAGTCAGGCCATTGTGCACTACCATGCAGTTTGACCAGGGCCTATGCTGTTTAACGTGTTGGTTGGTCAATTTTTGTTTTCTGTAAATCCATGAATTGACTGGTAAAAAAAATTCAAATCCAGCTCATCAGGTTACAGATTAATATACTTGATCTTGTACAAAATTTCAGCTGAAACATCAAGATAGTTTACTACAGCGGTGTAAGGAGATAATTAAATCAAGTAAGGATAAATATTCGCAGTTATCAGAGGAGAAAATAGAAGTGGAAAAACAGCTTGAAGATACAAACATGGAACTCGTTAAATTAAAGGTATATATGTTTGCTGTAATTTGCACAATAGGTTGATGTCCAAAAATTCTAAATACATGGGGGAAAAAAACCTGAAAAAATGCGTGGAGGACTACCTATCTGTATAGGACTCCTCAGATTCTGTTTAGCAGATGTCAGATTATAATTTTTAGCTAAAATCTAGTATTTTAATGTTATCCTGTTTTTTTATTATCATTATTTTGTACAAAATCAGAAAGTAAACATACATTGAACCTTCATCTATTGAATTGTGGAAAATTGATATATGATACAGTAGGAAATGAAAACAGTTTTCAAAAAAGCAGGACGCCACACCATGAGATTCAGAGTTATATTTTGAATAAAATGCCCTTTTGATGGCAAGATTTGCTATTTGAATTTTTATCCAGGTGTTGTGTTTTATAATTTTAATGTTATTCTGTTGTTATAGGGAAGTGCTTCCCCAGACACTGTATCAAAACTTCAGAACCAGATAAAACAGGCTAGACAGGTGATAGAACAACTTGAGACAGATAGAGAGATTGCCATTGCTGAGGTAACAACTATTTGATTTTTAACTTTTTATGATAGACTTGTACACTGTATAATAGAGTTGAATTTGGCAATGCTTGTTGGTTTAAGGGGATTCAATATCAAAAGGGTGAAATTGTGAAGCCATTACGGTTTAACCTCCGTAAAGCAATTACCTCAGAAGAGCAATTACCTCTGTTTGAATTGTTACTCTGTACAGCATTTACTTCTGTTGAACAGTTTCCTCTGTAGAGCAATTACATCTTTACAACAACAGTTTCAGTTCTTCCCAAGTAAGACTTTAAAGACTCTGAAATTAACCACTCCAGAGCAACACCTCTCCCAAACAACCAAAATATTTGTTCTCCCAAAGAATGTTGGTTTTCAGAGGTTGTACTGTTGTATAGGGTCTAGTCTGATTGCTTGTATGTGTAGGCTGCCCTGATTTTATACTTGTGGTAAAGGCATGCCATTATTGCTGTAAGCCATATCTTGTATCTTATAACTCATCCACTTTACAATATATTTATAATTAGTTATTATAGAAACATACATGTATATATTTTTGAATAACAGTTAAAAATACTTATTGCGAAGTCATTGATGTTATTAGGTAAAGCAGCGAGTTCATGAAGAGATGGAGAGAAAGGATCAAGAAGTGTCAGAAATCCGTGCACAGACTCAGGGTATGGTAGAGGAAAATAAGAATCTGAAGGAAAAGATAGAAAAACTCGAACAAGCATGTAAGTGTGCAGATTTTTTTTTTCTTTTTTTTTCTTAAAAAATACATGTATTGTGGAATCACTCAACTGATAAGAATTTAAAATTATCTTGGTACAAATGGTATTTCTTGTAGATTCAAAAAATAAATGAATGTTGAAATATTCTGGGGCCTTTTTCAAGTCCTGTTGTTTTTTGTGATCACTTTTCGTCCGGCGTCCGTCCGGTGTCCGTCGTCTGTCCGTAAACTTTTACTTTAAATGACATCTCCTCATAAACCACTAAGCCAATTTCATCCAAACTTCACAGGAATGTTCCTTTGGTGGTCACCTTTAAAAATTGTTCAAAGAATTTAATTCCATGCAGAACTCTGGTTGCCATGGCAACCGAAAGAAAAAACTTTAAATATCTTCCTTTAAAAAACCATAAGAGCTAGAGCTCAGATATTTGGCATGAAACATCTTCTAGTGAGTGTCTACCAAGTTTGTTCAAATAAAAGCCCTGGGGTCAGAATTGGCCCGCCCCGGGGGGTCATTGATTTTCCCTATATGCATATAGTAAAAACTTAAAAAATCTTCTTTTAAAGAACACAAAGAGCTATGGCTAAGATATTGAGCATCAAACATGTTCTATTAGGTGTCTACCAAGTTTGTTCAAATAAAAGCCCTGGGGTCAAAATTGGCCTCGCCCCAGGGGGTCATTGATTTTCTTTATATGCATATAGTAAAAACTTAAAAAATCTTCTTTTAAAGAACCAAAAGAGTTAGAGCTAAGATATTTAGCATGAAACATGTTCTAATAAGTGTCTACCAAGTTTGTTCAAATAAAAGCCCTGGGGTCAAAATTGGCCCCGCCCCGGGGGGTCATTGATTTTCCCTATATGCATATAGTAAAAACTTAAAAAACTTCTTTTAAAGAACTCAAAGAGCTATGGCTAAGATATTTAGCATCAAACATGTTCTAATAGGTGTCTACCAAGTTTGTTCAAATAAAAGCCCTGGGGTCAAAATTGGCCACGCCCGGGGGTCATTGATTTTCCTTATATGTGTATAGCAAAAACTTAAAATCTTCTTTGAAAAACCCAAATAGCTAGAGTTTAGATATTAAGCATGAAACATCTTCTAGTAAGTGTCTACAAGTTGTTTCAAATAAAAGCCCTGGGGTCAAAACTGGCCCGGCCCCAGGGGTGTCATTGTTTTTTAACTATATGTGTATAGTAAAAACTTTAAAAAAATCTTCTTTTAAAAAGCCCAATGAGCTAGAGCTTAGATGTTTAGCATGAAACATCTTCTTATAAATGGGTGTCTACCAAGTTTGTGCAAATAAAAGCCCTTGGTTAAATTGGCCCTGCAACGTTTGGGGGGGGTGGGGGTGGGGGGGCCTATATACAGATGAGCGACCTCAGGGCCATCATGGCCCTCTTGTTATGAAGATCATGTAAGAGGAATTGGGGTTATTTTATCGGAATAGAAAGCTTTTCTCACTAAATACAAATTTACCCAGTTGAAAAGTGTCATTAAGACGTTCAAGCACCTACAGAAGTTAAGGAATCCACAGTATAGAGCCAAATTTGTGATCTGCAGGCAGGCCGGTGGAAAAGGCTAATGTAATCAGTTCCAGGCGATTAATAATTAGTAATGGCTAAATTTATTTTTTTACAGCTTCTGATCAGCTAGAAAAGTCAAGGGAGATAATTAAGAGATTGAAGGATGACAGGAAGAGGTTGATAGATGAGTATGAGGAGAAGTTGCGTGGTAGAGAGGACCAGATGGAGACAGAGAAAGAAAAGTTGGTTCAGGAAATTTCTCGTGGCAAATCAGCTGCTATAACCCTGATGCAGGTAAGGGTATTTGTATAGTTTTACTAACTTGTAAAAAAGAAAATCCATATATTAGTGTTTTATATCAAAAACTGTTGTGACTCAGTGTTTTCATGCTTGGCCCAATTGTGAGAGTATTGCATTAATAATCCGAGGGGGGGGTAGCATTTTTAATCCTCTGACAAATCATTATTTCTCTGTGACTTTTTAATATGTACATGGATTTTATGGTCATATATCTCTCATCATTGATTTTGAAATCATGGGGAATTATTTGTCAGTCATTTAAAGAGAAAATCTGAAATAAAACTGGTTAGTTACACAGGAAAAGCCTGCGTGGTAGATTAACAGCCAAGATATGACCAAAAATGATTAAAATCTGTCTTAAAAAAAAGAAAAGAAAAAAACAAACAAAACATTTCTTTCTGACTTGGCTTAAGGATTTAATTGCTTTATTTTTGCTTTTAATTTTTGTCATTTGATAGGAACAAGCCAATAAACAGAATGAAGAGAAAGTTAATGAAGCCCTGATTGAAAGAGATGAAGTCTGGCAGAAAAAAATGTCTGATCAAGAGATGGCACATCAAGAAATTGTTGTAACAAAGGTAAATTATGAAAGAAATACTGCCTTTACAACAAGTCTTTTTAGATCTGTAGTAATAGTGTTGTTTTGTATATTTAAAACTACCGGCACAACAAAGTAAAAAAAGATAACTTAATGGAAGTTTTATCGTATGGTAACTATATTCTGGAGCCATGATTTCAGAAGAATATTTTATAAAATTTGGAATTATTTCCTTATGTTATTCATTCTGAAAATAAATGAAAAACATGTGTAACTAAGAGAATAGCTAGACATGTTTTGCAAAAATAAATTAAATCTATGTTGGTTAAGTAAGGGGGGGGGGGGGGGAGGGGGTAATGAAAAAAAAATGTGAAAATTGTGAAATTTATTGACATTCAGAAGAAGGGCTAGAAACAGATTTCACAAGAAGGTGTATTAGGAATATTTTATCACCTTAGTGCAGTAACGGGTAGGTAAACTCCTATTGAATCATATAAGGAGTTTACCCGTTACTTCACTAAGGGTAATGATTTCTTTATCTGTTTTAATGTTTAATATTTTTTGTTGTAGGAAAGAGAACTTCAGCAGTTGCAAGCCAGGTTTGATGAAACCGTTGAAAAACTGAAAAATGAGAAAGAATTATATATCAAGTCTGTACAAGATGAAACAAGGAGCAAATTACAGGTAATGATCATCTTCCAGTTTTGACATACTTTGATGTGCCATCAATCATAGAGCTAACTGAAACAGTAAAATGTTAACATTTTCGTAATTTTGAAAAATTTGTTTCACTTGGGTTTATGTGGCACTGCTCGAGGAAGATCTCAGAAGCCCATCTTAAATACTGTGAGCTAGGTTGGAACCAATGACTCGGCTTGACTTAACAATAAAAATATTAGCATAATGTCACTTTAACATTGACTGTTATATTTCAGGAGAAGGAGCAGGAGATGCAGTTAGCAATGGAAGAGAGAGACCTTACAACAAAATGGCCACTCGTGTACACAGCAAGACACCCTGAGAGCACGAACTAAATGTCCAGCTGGAAAATCTACAAAAAGGTTTTACTTACCTATCTGTATAATTTTTGAGTAAATTACCAGCAAAACAATTGCAAGGCATTAAGCTATATGCAAAGATCTAATAAACATGATTTTTGTACTGGTTTACTCTTGAAATGTATGAAATGTGGGCAAGTTTCGGTCACTTTAGACTTATGCACAGTCTAGCAGGCTAAGGTTGAGGTTCAAGCTAAATGTATATACCTCTTGTGTATTAAGGGTCTTGGTTTAAAATATTGCTGTATGACTTAAACAATCAGTGGGTTTTTCTCACTTTGGGAAGAGGCCTTACTGGTTTGCGGACCACAAAAACCGGACAACCACCAAACCCGACGGCTTCAAAAAATACTTAATTTTCTATTTTCGTTGATTCAGTGGTTGTCGGTTACTTTTTTTCAACAATTTAAATGCATGTTTTCTTCTAAAATTTTAAGTAAATTAATTTATTTCAACTCCTTAAATGGTTATATATTTTAATGTCTATTTCAAGAAGTTGATATTGAAAATTTGGGGGTCAAGAAAAGCAATGCCTGACCTCATAATACCAACTATAATCATTTGCAGAGTAAACAATAGAATTATCCAAAACTCTCAGCGATTTGTTGCTGAAAACATTTTTTTTAACATGCTAAAACAAAAATTAAAACAGACCCAAGCTTTTTATCTAATTAAATCACATCTATTGTACATATCCTGTCGGACACATGGTTACTGTAGTGTAGACATTTTAGGTAAGTTTTTATATCCCCCTTTTCGAGCCTCAGATATTAGTGTAAATACAATCAGAAATAAACAAACTAGTTTGTTAGTTAGGAGAAGAACCTAGCCTGAACTGTCTTCAAACTTTTTAGGTCTCTAGGTTTAAAATTATGAAATCTGTACGAAAAATGTTCAAAAATTGTCCGGTTGATGGTCCCCGACCAGTAGCCTCTTGATATTTTTGGAAAAATTATCTCTAAAATTACTAATGTTGTGAAGTAAT